GCGATTAGAGAATTACGCCTTTGACGCGTAAACGCCCAGGTATTCACCGTTCACGCCTCTCTTCTAATAACAAGAACGATTATGTTGTAAGGTCTAGAAATTTTGCTAAAAACAGATCTGAAAATAATTTTTTATTGAATCATCAAAATAATTTGTTGGAATAATTTGTTAAAACTGATAAATACTGCTATAAAACGTTTTGATGTTCTAGTTATCATTTTGACTTTCGCACAAAATTATTTTGATTATTTGAAAACTTGACAAAAATTATTTTCAGATCTGGATTCAGCAAAATTGTTCTTTCCGTGCTCTCGCTCGATTAATCGTCGCTGATTCTATTTCTCTAAATATCCTAAGGAACGAGCGAAATATCTGAAATCGATTGACAGACGAGTATCGTCGTCGTCGTCGTTGCGGTAATTAATAGAAAGCTGTCCGGCGATGTTCGCGTGTTTCGCTTCCGCTTTTAGCTATGATAATCGATTCAACGTGCCCACACGTCGCGCCGTGATCCTCGTCTTCGGGACGGCCGGGAATAATTTTTGACAGAATCCCATGAGGTTTCACTCGTGCGTGACCGCGACGGTTGCCGTGATGCCAAGAGAAATCGAACTTGATCGTTAAGCGAGTCGCGAATCGCGAGCTCGGCCCATTAGCCGCGTTCGAGTCTCCTCCGGCCCCCGTTGAGACTCTTCCCTCCCTCCCCCCCTGCCGTCGAAGAGACGAGCGCGAGGAAACTCATCATTAATAATCATCGCCGTGTGACGATCCCTCCTCGTACCGAAAACCAAGTGTTTTTCGAGCGTCGCTTATGCAAACTACCGGCCAACAACAACCCGAAGAGACGCGATTACTATACGGTTGACAAGTACATTGATTTCTTAAAAGCGACAAGCTATACATATGCGTGTGTGTATCAATTAAAAAATGTAAATGCATCGTTAATAATAAGTTGACGTTCAGATTTTTTTTTGCAAATTTAATGTCACTAATATCACGTATATCTTATACATATGCTAAATTGGACCGCTTATATAAATCTGAAGAGAAAATTTGAAGTCTCGTTCGTTCCCTGTTGTAAATTATTGTACATTGGCGCATTATAGTACACAATTTAGACGCGTAATGTAAAACTTGGAGGAAAGTGCAAATGTGCCAAGAAGAAAGCGGTTTCCAAAAGCTCGGTGTTTCCGGACAAACATCGCGTTTCTACTCTCCGTCCTTTATATACTCGCCCGCGCGGTTTCCGAGGGAATAAAAGGCAACGGCGACGCGCGAGATCAACGTACGTATACGCGCGCGCGCGGTGCATTATCGCGCGTTAAATATAGGAAATAAAAATCAGCGGAATGTAGAATCGTCATTATATAACGATCCTGTTTGCCGAACGTTCGGCCGAGCGCTGTACGGCGTTACGTTACGGCGGAATTCCGGCGCGGAGAGAATTTCCGCGTGCGTCGTCGAGGGGGAGAGAGAGGGGGGGGGGGCACAAGCCCACCCCGCAAATCTCCTCCTGTCTCTCCTTTTCTCTTCGCGGATCAGATCTACGCAGATCTGTATACGATCGATCAGCCCGTGTCGGGCTACGCGCGCGGAGGAAAGGTGCACCACCGGGCACAGCTCGGGCCCGGTAGAAAGCCATCAGCTCGATGTCGACGTGCTAGCGCAAGTTGCCGCGACTCGTTTGTGCCGTGTGCGTATACGTGTGTGTGTGTGTGTGGGTATGTATGTATGTATGTATGTATGTATCGGCTCGTCTTTACTAGCATAAGTTAAGCGCACGCCGGGCTCCCCCTCCCCCCTCCCCCCACCGTACTGGTGGGACCTTGTTTCATGACCCACATAAAGCAAGGCCGTTAACACTACTCACGACACCGCGTACACGTACACACACACATGTACGAAAGGGGGGTGGAGGAAGGAGGGGGAGAGGGGGGCCGCGCGAGGTGCGCTCCGCGCTCTATGGAGAAGGCTCACGTGTACCCCCCTACTCAGATAGCGCGCGCGGCACCCATCGGACCCCCGTGTGAGATGGCCCCGAATTCGTACCACCTGGTAGGATCGCGGCTGTATGCTCCGCGCGCGAGAGATAAGGGACTCGGGGATATGCCTCGTTTCAGCCGGTGTGTCACTTTTATAAACCGACGCGATTAAATCGAGAGCTCTCTGACCCGGTCGTGTACTTGTTGACCCATTAAAGGCCGCAATTAAAATATGTACATACAGGGTTTCAATTGAGTCGATTGTGTGTGGGTTTTTTTTTGTTTCACGCGAGATTCGTAGAATTACCAAAAAATGCCTGACTCTCTCTCTCTCTTTCGCGTATCTGAAAGATACGTGCTTCATTTTTGGAACATAATTAAATTATTTAGCCGAAGATTGAAGTTAAAATCAATTGGTTAAAAATAAAATACAACATATGTGATATCCTTCTATACTTTTCGAATCCTTTAAAGACAAATATTTTTGAGATACGATTAATTTCTCCGAGGAAAACTATCGAAAAAAAAAACGAGGACTATGTTAACAATTAAAAAATTTATCTTATTCTTAAATCTTAAATCCCAAAAAAGAGCATCGATTGTTGATGAGTTAATTTTTTGGAAAGATGCGAGAGAAATGTCGTACGTGATATAATATATATTATACGTATAATGATAGATTCGTCTATAAGTCAAAACGAAATAACATGATATAGCATGGTGTATAATCGACGAAAATTTGACCGACTTAATTTTTGGCTTCGCTGTATCGCTTATGAGGCAAAAACTCGCATTCTCCACTTTCCAAGATTTGACGTAAAAGCGAAGAAACTTCTTTCGCGCGTGTATATTTGTATAAATCACCCGGATTCCTTTTCTATTTCAGAATCGGAATACGAGTGCCAATTAATTAGGCTTGCTGCGTTAAAAAAAAAGCGAATTAAACAAAACCATTTCTTTGATATAAAAAAAAAGAAAAAATAAAATAATAAAAAACGATTGAAGAATGCGAGTTATTTTTTTAATATTCCTTCTCATATGTCATATACCCGTGAAACTCATCTCGAATTTCCCCTTTGCTCTCATCCTCATCAGAACACGGTGCCTCATTGCGATTCGATTCGCATCGTTTGTCGCGTAATGCCGCTACCGGGGTGCGCGAATAATACTCGCCAAGGCATAACGTTTTTACAGTTCAGCTTGAGGCGAGACGGTTTCCCGCTGGCGCGCGAGGTGCCCAAGACGAAGAAGCTGCGGGGATTCCTTCCTCCCCCCTCCACCCCTGGCACTTGTACCTTCCTCTCCTCATCTTACGCTCGCCATGGCGTGCGATGCGTATATACGTACACACGTACGCCGTGTCTCCGCGCTTAAAGTAGGTCACACCGATGCGTGCCGGTGTGTTAGCGAGAGGATATCGTGGCAGCGCGTACCAGCGCGGGCGCGCGCGAGGCGCGTTATCGTATACTCCTGGGTCCGGCCACCTTGGTAGCACCTTGATCTTGATCTTGACTCCGCGCAAGGCCCGCCTCGCGGGCAGACGCCGCGCGCCGCCGGGAGAACGCGTACGTCTCTCGTTTTTGCGCGGCAATACGCGGCCCGAGATTGAAATTATTAATGTAACAAATGTAATTGTCTGCATTTTGTGTCGGCTGCCTCTTTCGTTGGGCGCACGTTATTTTTCTTCAATTTTATTGTTATTGTATAAAAAAAAATCTAACTGCGCACATCCCATATACTATTGTTGTCACGAAATCCTATTGAATTGATTATAGAAAATGTGTAATTAATGATTAATTAATACATAAATAATATGCACATCTTTTATCTTATCGTTAATTGATTTATGCACCTTGCGAGTCTGAAAGCGTTAACGACCCAATTTAGCACTCGGCCTTTCTTCCCGATCGTTTTTTTATTTTTTTTTAATTATCTGCCGGCGCGTTTATTATAAATATAACTGCCGCCATCTCTTGCGATCGAATCATACCAGAAAATTTATGTATATGAAGAGGAGCTAAGTAACACACACGAAAGAAAGTTCTATTATCATTATCCTTCTGCGAGCGCGTATGCGAACGTCGTCGCTTATTTCATCTCGATTGTAGATTCTGTGGGAAACCTAAAGCTGCTTTCTTCATAGCGAAAATTTAATCAGGCCGCATCTTGCCATTGTTGAATTTTCATATCTACGTCAAACATCTTGCTTATTATTTATTTAATATCACACGAAATATGTTCTAAAAAACTGATTTATATACATATATAAGTGAATTATTCTCTAATACATAGAGAAGAAGAATTCTACATTTTTATCTGTAATTTGTATGAGCCACGGCAACATATGGCAATTTTTCCCTAATTACACGACTTCGGCATAAATAAAAAAAAAAAATAAAATAAAATAAAATGAACGTACATCAAGTGCATATGAAATGTAAAAAAATATATATTTCTTATGTTCGAAAACATTTCATATACATTAATTTCGTATAAATAAATCAACACATTTTTATTTATAAGAAATTAATGTATATGAAATGTTTTCGAACATAAGAAATATATATTTTTTTACATTTCATATGCACATATATATATATTTTACATTTGCACATGCACATATATACACATTTTACATTTCATATGCACATATATATAGGTATATATATATATATATATATACACATACATCATGTTTTTTTATACATATATATATTTTATAAATATATATATGCACACATTTTTTTTTATTTCGAAAAATAATATAGACAATAGGAAAAAATCGATCAGAATCATCGGCTGGACGTTTCTGATCGTCTGACCTGGATTCATGCCTCTAAGACGACCTCGCAATTTGCGTTTTCTGCTATCGGCGCACGCTATCCGTAATTATCGGTTGACTCGTCCTGGTCACGAACTGCCTCAGATGCAATTTTATCCTTCGAGATGCGGGAGGTGACTCCGAAGTTCACGGGTCGGGAATCGGGAAGGTTCGGACGGATCTAGAAAACTCCGACCTTTCGAGTTTTCCTTTTATTTTATTGATACCTCCTCTTCTTCGTACACAACGATCATCGTGATAGAGACTCTGGCCGTAATCTGGCACAAAATATTTCTCGGGTTTCGCGTCGACGGCTCGAAACCCTCGACGGGCATGCTCGGATTCGGAATATTGGTCTTTGACGATCTCATCTGATGACACTGAGCTATTTTATTGTTACGCGAGTAAGCGTCGTCGTTACCGATAATAACGTGTACTACTGCTGCAGATCGGCTTGCAACGGAATGTTTGATTTCTGTCATAATAATATACAGACCGACAAATTAATGTGCATATATATTATTGTCGCGCGAAGTACATTTGTAACTACGCACTAAACAGTTTTTTTTTTCTTACGGTCATCGATCGATAGAAAAAAAAAGAAATATGACGTTTGTTCCTGATTTAACAAATTATCGCGAGTTTTTTTTATTTTTTGTATATAATGGAGCATGCGTGTGATGATGGATACGTCGCGTTTATATTCATTTAAATAAAAACTTAATGTCACATTAAAGCGCTGAACCTCTCTCAGGACTAATAATCGGACAAACGTATTGTTGAATGTCCCGAATAGCGATGGATATACATATGGTATTCGCACCAGAATAATTATCGATCGTTCGCAGGATGATTTGCGTTGGAATGTTGCGCGAGTGAGTGAACGCAATCGCCGTATTCTACCAGTGTCTATTTTCTATTTGCGTTCTCACTCGTAGTAATAATTACGAGCAACGATGTTTTGTCGATTTTTCCACTTCGCGAAAAGTCGTATTTACAAGCGTGATGGTCACTTAAATCTTGCTTAATTATACCGCCTTCGATTTATGACATCTCCTATTCCACAAGATTCCAAACTTAACTTCGTTTACTAATAATTCGTCTATCGAACAATATTAACATGATAATCAACAAGACACAGTGCACTGTCGACAGCTTAAATAGTTCGATCAATGGTCCCTTTATGATTAATATTCGAATACAGACTTCCACGTTCAAATGTTGCTTACGGAAGCCTAATATCAACAACACGAAAAGTCATATTGCTAAATTAGCCAGCTCATTTGCAATTGGACAAGACTATGTTTCTACGAGTTGATTTTATTCCAATTCTACCGAATGCATGCATTATTTGATAGAGGCTGTTCTATCAAACAGGATGCTTCTAATTTCCGATTACATTTACAATACGCGAACATGGATATCAAAGATAACTCCAAGATTTTTACATCCGCCTTGTACATATATGCCATATACATAAATAGTATATTTTTCTTGTCAACCTGTAGTTCTAACGTCAAGAACCAGACAGTTTTACAATAAAACAATTAAAAAAATAAATAACATCCTTCTAGTCATGTTGTTAAAGAATAAACCAATAATGTTGTGATCATAGCTTATCTGAAAATTATTAGTGACATAATAATGATTTTTCCACTACCCGATTTAGTTTATTTTGTGTATCAAATTTAATTTAGTTGAATGGCTTTTAGTCAGTTTTAATGTATCGTCGGTTTTAGTGTATTTTTTTTCCTCAGACGCAAGAAATCAACCAGCTAGAGAGACCACATCATTTAGAGTGTTGCGCTTAAGTCGAATCCCGATACTGAGTGTTCGTTATAACTTGGCGATAGTGATTTTGACTTGCATTCAAAGATTTAAGCGGGATTTTTCAAAGTCTAGCAAATTATTTGAACAATATCTTAATTACTGCTGCATTATTCAAACAGATTTTTCTACTGACTTTGGCAGAACTCAAATGCATTTGTCATCGAATCGATTTATCTATGAACACGTCTATGACCAACAATGAGGAAAACGATTCCAAATATTTTGACGAAAACAAAATAATTTATACAATTTAATAAATCTATTGCATGCTAATTTATACGCTCTTGCTCGATTTCAGCTGGTCCGCACCAATCTGCACCAGTGTGCCACCAGTGCACAATGTAGAGTTGGTGCAAATGGGTATAGTGCAATTACACCAACTACACTGGCCCCGACTAATTTGTGAAAGCCACTTTGTGTACATTCAATATGCACCTGTGCGGCATATCGAATCCAAACGAACACGCGGCACTGGCGAGGGACTGCATCATTCGACCAGCCGAACATACAACACCCGAAATGTGCAATCGGTGCAGCCGCTATTAGTTGTATACTCGATTTTTACAAAACATAATTCTATTTTTGCGATGGTTCATGATAAATTGACAGATAAATATTTATTCATCGATTTCCGTTCGATTTGCAATATAGAATCGGAAAAATATTCAACTCGAAAGGGACATTTCAAACCATGACACCGCGCTGTGCCAACAATTGCTTCCTTTGGTGAAGACTTGGCGAATCCACGGCAATCTCGTCATTCTTCACGCTGTCGAATGACTTGGAGGTTTTAAAATTATTTAGAACGCTCAAGCAATTGTTGCTCGTCATCTCGAAAGATTTGGAATTCCTGAGTGACGCGCTAGCCAACTTTCTGATAGTCTCCGAGATAGGATACTTGAAGTCCACTCTCTCCCTTTCCCTCTCCTTGATTCTTTGATTATCGCTGACCACCAATAAGGGATCTTTCTTCTCCGTTTGTCTCTCCTCTTGCTTATCTAACGTAGAATCCTCGTGCTTCGTTCTCTGACTCTCGCTGCAGTCGGTTCTACACGTCGACTCCGATTTGTCCTCTCTTTTACTCGCAAAAGGCTCCAATCGCGGATGCTCGTTCTCGTCCTCTTCTTTCTTGTCGTCTTGACCTAGTAAAGACTTTGGTGGCGCCTCCACGTAACCGCTCTCATCGCTGTCGGCCTCCTCGTCGAGGGAGTCCAGAGTCAGGAACGAGGTCTCCTCATTCTGCAGAAAATCGTGGCCTATCCTGCCAGGATACTTCTCGTTCGCTCGCCTCTCCCTCTTCTGCGGATCCTCGATCCTGTTCATCACCTCTCCCCTCGGCCGATAATCCACCACGTCGTCGAGATCCTCGACGTCCTCGAAATCGAACATGTTCGAGGCGGTGTCCTCCATCTCCTCTTCTTCCTCCTCCATCGATTCTTCCTCCTCGCTCCTCAAGGGGAACCTCTTCATGGGATTGACGGAATTGAAACGGGGACTGCCGGCGCACGTCATGAAGTGCGGCGAACCTTCCGAGTTCCTTCGCGGTCCTGACCCTCTGCCGATTCGATCCTCCGAAAAGATAATCCTCTTGATCGACCCGCGCTGATCGCTTTGATCTAGAAAACGTTATTTCAAAGGTAAGCAACTTGTCAACTTCATGACATTATAAACTTCATATGTCACGCACCAACTGGCACGACTTGTCGAGCAACTGCCCTTTCGCGGCTTAATTATGTAAATATCGTTATATACCCCTCTAAAAGAACTTCACAAAGATAGAGATATGTTTCAAATAAAAAGAATTAGATATCTTAAGAGATATCAGCATTACTAAAATGTTATCGAAAACACGTGTGTATATACATATAGATACCATAAAAAAAGTTAATTATATAGCTTATTTATTAGGTTAGCCTATCGAGGACGTTAGGTAATTGTAATTCGCTTATCTGCTTGTAACGCTAAAATAGAAAATCTTGCACCAGTCAAAATATTTTACACACGCAGTTTATCTCTTTCAATTATGTCGTGATGTAAAACAGGCCTTATCGTAACTTCATTTCCTTTATGTAATCATCTTTGCACTCTAACTCGTAACCTTAGAACATATACTACTGGAAGGAGAATTGTCTATACCGTCGAGCTGAAGCTAACATCTGTGCGAGAGAGAAAGGTAATTCCCATTTAACTGTAATACGCATGTGTCATTCAGCCCCCACTTAGCTCCGTTTTTCATTTTTTTTGAAAAGATTTTCGAAAAATAAGAAATTAGGCAAAACGAGCAGAGTGGGGGCTGAATGGCACATGCGTATTACAGTCAATTGGGAATCTATACCTTTCTCTCTCGCACAGATGTTGACTTCAGCACTCAATTCTCCTTCCAGTAATATATGTTCTAAGCTCGTAACACACAAAAAAAATTGAGAAAAATTTTAAAGGCACCACTTACATTATATTATATAAAAAAAACGTTTACATAAAAAAATTTGTTTAAAGGAAAATTTATCGAAATTTTGCTTCAAATTCTGCCTGAATGCTTGATATAAACGATTCATCGATTGTGATAAGTGATAATCTGCGAATAATACTAACTCTGCGCGAGATGCTCTTCAGGGCCGGTGGCTCTCTCCTCGCTGGTCGCCGTGCTGGCGGTTTCGCATCCGCTGGAGATGCTACCGTTCTCGTCGGACTCGCGATTGAGGGCGTCGAGCAGTCTGGCTATCCTCCAGCCATCCTGGTCCTCCCAGCTACGCGCCACGTTCTCGAAGGAATGCAGCTCCTCCAGCAGCCTCTGCTGCTCCATCTCCTCGGCCACCGTATCCTCCTCGATCGCCGACAGCTTAGGCGCGCTCTTCGACCTCTCCAAGGGCGGCCGATAGTTCTGGCCGCCGGTGCTCAGAAGCAGCTTCCTACGCGGTAACGACGGATTGTCGTACAACGCGTTCGCCAGAGACAACCTGCAACAATTTACATAAACTGTTAATTCAAATGATGCCAATTGTACATACAGGCATATATCGCATTTTTTTAACTATGGATTACGCAATAAAAATTGAACCTTTCTCTTTAATAATGACTTAATAAAAATTTAATACTAGATTAATTTACTACTAGATTTAATACTAGATTAATTTAATACAAGAAATAGAGTCTTGATTATTTTATTATTTGGATTATGCAATAAAAATTGATCCTTTCTCTTTAATAATGACTTAATAAAAATTTAATACTAGATTAATTTAATACTAGATTTATTTACTACTAGATTTAATACTAGATTAATTTAATACAAGAAATAGAGTCTTGATTATTGTCTGTGATAATTTTACGATTTGCAAGATGTTACTTCTTACTGATTTTTATATCTGGAGGATCATAAAAGTTTTATTTTGTAAGATAAATAAAAATAAGTAAAAATTCCAATTGATTAAATAACAAAAATTATACACCTCATTAACTTGACAAAATCCTGATTTGTTTGTTCCTTCTCTGCAGTAGAAGGATGACAATGCAATAAAGAAAGTAGCGAACCAGACGTATTAGCGCAACTCCGGCGAAGAGTGCTGTAGCATGTTTGACCTGCGACTTGGGAACACTGACCCGAATGCACATCGCCGAGCGGCGATCGTTTCCCGTCCTGGATCGTGACTCGATCGCGCGCATAACGATCTACAATCGTGACCGGAATCGTGACTTCCACGGTGCAGGATGCACGAGCGTGCGTAACTGCAGCGCGCGCGTGCCCCTCAACGAACGAAGATGAGAAATTTCTCTTTTCTCTCGATTAAGGCGGCGGGGAGGAGGAGGGGGGGGGGAGGGCGAGGAGAGGAAGAGGCAGACACCTTGCATGGCCCACGTAACGACGGTATAACGAACGAGGTACGATAAAAATGCGAGGAATGCGCGATGGTGCGCGCCGCTGCCCGACATTGAAATGAGCCTAACGGAGAATTCTATACGTTTGAGAAATTGTGCCGCGCGCGATTTAATCGTAGCCGGTTCGATTTTAAGAAGGCAGTGCAAAGCAAGTAGCGTCGTAAAGATATGCACATTTAGATGATCCTTGAGCAATTAAATTCACAAAGAGGCTCGGAGGGAGGCTTCAAACACCTTTCTAGCGTATCGCATAAACGGCGTAATGCGGAACTTTGCAATGTGTGTTCCATTAATTCTCTCCTAACGCCAAGTTCCAACACCTGACAATACCTGAACAACACCTCACTAATCTCGCCATAATATTTACCGATTGCCACTAATTGTACGTCAAGCTTAGATAATCCCCGTTAATAATTCCCGCTAATATCACGATCCCGCGTGCGCAAATGCCGCTCGTGCAGCAGCTTATCTATATCGTCGCCGAGAAATACGAGGCAAAACTTGGCGGAGAGTTGCACTCTTAATTCGTCTCTGAACCTCTTTAGAGCAACTTCTTTTATCGGCAAATCAATAAGCGCGCCGATGAAATAAATGCCGCTCTTTCCACCGAGCTCGCTCTCGGGGTCGTTTGCTTTTAGTTTACTTTTAGCGGCGTGATACCGCTGCTCTCACCTGGCGTTTTGCCTGGAGACCTTGTCCCGGCGGAATTCCATGAGCGCCTGCTGCAGCCTGGCATTCAAGATCGAGGCGAGCCGTCTTGCGGTAGACTCCTTGCTGCACAGGGCCGCGTGACACCTCAATTCGGGCCTCAGTCTGCGGCCCTCGTGCCGGTACACCCAGACAAAGAGTCGCGGGTGAGTGGCCGGGGCCGTGCAGTAAGTCACACGGTGGGCCCAGTACTCGGTTAGGCCGTGGTCCTTGGTGGTCGCGGTCAGGCCACCGTTGGTCACCGTCAGCCTCATGGTGACGTCCGGCCTGTTGCTGCCTACGTAGTTCCGCCATAGGGTCGACACGGGCTTCTCGACGCAGCCTTCGCCTGCGGGAGAGAGAAGGCGTGAAGAATTAATTTCAGAAGTTACTGGGTATATAGCTACATAGAGGTGTTGCTAGAATGTTGCAATACGCTCCCTGCAGGGGAGAGGTCTTTTGAGCCTTCGAGCATGGAAGGATCTGTAATTTCGGGGAGCTTCACGCGGGAACGTTTGTTCGAGCCGTCGAAAGTAACGTCACGCTATGTTATGCCGATGTCTCCGCGCGGTACTTTCTACAGTTCATTATGGACATTGACGCATAATCAGACGCTCAGAAATGCCGCTTCTCGCACGACACACGATGAAAGGTATGCCGCGCGCGGTTCAAGCGAAGTATGTCACTTTAGGATCACAGATCTCGCATACCTATACGTATGCGTATACCTATTACGACATCCCCAGCTGCGTTCGAGAGCTCGTGTGAGAGACGTCGGCATGTATACATACGTACGGGATAACTACGTTCCACGTTATACTCCGGGGGCCACATCCTGACTTTCGATACAGTTCGAATCGCTGCTACGCGCGCCGCCTTGGATCGCTTTGCCAATTTAGAGATACAGGAAACGCAAGTACAGTTACTTAGAGCTCGAAAGCGAGCCGTGCCGGCGGGCGAAATAGAGAACAGAGTGAGAGAGAAAGAGAGAGGGAGAAGCAGGTAGAATGGTGCAGGTTGAATGAGAAAAAGGAAAAACGTGAAAGAGAGAAAGAGAGAGAGAGAGAGATGTTGACTTGGAACAGGTAGGTGCACGCCAAAGACTCTCGTGACCCGCTATTCGCGAAAAAAAAAGAATAAACGCGATTCGTCGCTCAAACCTGAAAGTGGTGTTGCAAAAAAAAAGTGTAGCACGTGTGCTGCTTATCGACGCAAAGATATGTACCGTATTTGCACTCTAATCCAAGAGGCAATGACAATTTAAATCCCGATACGAGTGGCTGAATGTCGTTCTGTATAAACAGGATTTTTCATCGCGCTCGTGGCATGGAAGATTTCGTAGTGACGATCTTCGCGGACGTCACAGAAAGCCGTCATCCCGCGCGAAGTTCTTTATAATTACAAATTGAGCTCGATTCATACAGGTCATGTTGTAAAACGAACAAAATGATTCTATAAATGTTTATCAACCTCGCGGATCTTCGACCGCCACGTCAATCGAGATCGGACAAGATAATTACCGGTGACTTTCTGGGACGATAAAAAAGCTTTATGCATCTTAAAGCGATATTTTAGATCGGTCATTATGCAAATAGCGCGTTACACGCGTAGTCTTATAACGTCATCGGAATTTATATGCAGGACGGCTCGATAATGTTTTCGACGAGACACGGAAAGCGAGAAAGCGTAGAATGGAATAGAAATAAAACGTATACATTCAGGAAACTGGAAGATGAAACATTTACGTCAGAGATTCGATGGTCAAACATTGTAAATATTTTGTCTTAAGAATAACATTCACGGAAATTCACGGTGAATTTAATACTTTGCGATCAAAAACTGTTTTCTGATGTAAATGAAGATCGAAGATCAAGCATTTCGTCCGCAGCTTTCTGTCTAATCGGTTAGTTTGATATGAATGAAAAATTTTTCATTTCTACCGAAAGAATTTATGAACTCAAAAAATATAGCTTGTCGATCATAATCGCATGTAGATTCCAATACTTGAAGAATTATGTGATAGGAGCTGTAAAAGCATAACGTAACGAGTAACGTCGCTGTCATGTTCAACTCGACACGATGGGCTCGCAAAGGGTTAAATATATTAATTAAATATTAATTCTGTACGTAAACGCGTTAAGACGGCAATTGATTATAATTACAAAAGAATTAGCAGTGTAAGGTGGTTTATATGAAGAGTTCACAACTATTACCGGGTAATACGTATCTAAGATACAATAATGAAGCGCTTAAGATGCATTACAAGCTCTTTAACGCATCTCTACGATCATTAGTGCGCGATCAAACAATTGCGAAATGTATGCAAGTGATAACTATGATTGCGGGAGAAAGTACGTCTATAAATCAGAGGCGGCTAAAGAAACGTCATAGCGCTGCAAACGCTCTCCTGATATCTCCATAGTCATAGTGTATTTCTAATCCAACAATTATCAAATAATGCAAACCACTGTTATTGCAGATAGCAGCTCTCTACGGGCCACGTTTAAATAGAGGAGTGAGTTGTGTCAACGTTTCTCGCACGAGACCGACCGATGTAGATAAAGAAGTGACGTGGAAACTGAACACCTGCAGCGTGTTTATTGCAATCCCATGTGCATGCACGTGGAGGAGCTTTGTAATCGGAAGCAGATGATTAAGAGGCGTATCGATTTTAGCAACATTTAATCGTCGCTCGAAAGCGACGTGACAGCCCCGAACGTCTGTCCACGGATCGGGTGCGTCCTCCTAGAATCCGACGAGTCCGTTATTCCGGGAAAGATGCGATCTCTGTTTCCGACTGTTGTTTCATTGCGCGATTCCGCAAATCGTCCGCGATACCCGTAACACGCGAATCTTCGAAACGGCTCGCGTTCCAGAGGATCTCGTTTTCGCGTGTGAAAGGCGTTAATTAAATCTCAAAACTGCACGAGTGATGAATCGATGTTTCTCGCGTTCAGGTTCGATCATACCGAATATACTTTTAACGAGGGGGGTGGGGCGGGGGGGGGGGAGGAGAACGTCGTGTCTCTTGTTTCCGAGCGCCGAGAGAAAGCACGCCTCGCCGCCGATCGAGATCCACGCCGCAATCGAACTGTGACCGGCTGACTCGGATGGAAAAAGGCCATCGAAAATCGCATGCAAATAAATCACCGGACAACAATGGTCCCGGCCTGTCTGCGTAATTTGCGTATAGGAAGCCTTATGTACGAGACCGTTGGAGCAACATTTTATTCCGAGCGTGTCCGGAGAAAGCGCGCGCGGGGAGATTCGATAAAAGCGATCCTTCGCCGCAGGTGAAACGGCCGCATTGGCGTGCCGCGAAGTTCTTTTCCGTTGCAATAAATTTTTCAAGCGAGAGGCTCCGCGAGAGTAAAGAGGCGAACCGACGGAAGTATCTTGTTCTCCGTAATTACAAAAGCAGATTCGATTTTAAAGTTCAACTCTCGCCATACATGATGTATTTATTAGATTATACATATGTATATGTGTAATAATTATATATGTATATATATATATATATATATGTATATCATATAAAACGTAATTACTAAACATTTATATAGGTCTCTCACTCGTATTTAAATTATAATAAAATTACGCAGTTAAAGAACAAATTTTTCTGTAACTCATTCAAATTTCCATTCGGTTGGTTCCTTATTCACCGAACGTTTTTTCATATTTCCCGAAAGATAGAGGATTGAGCCGAGTTAGAGAAAAAAAAATCAACGAAAATTGATTCCGAGGCAGGAATATTCGCCGCCCGTGACGATCTATCGAGTTGCGCGAATATATTGCGATCGAATTATTGCGAACGGAAAAACAGACGGTCTGGAACGACGCGGAACGGGAAGCAACCGGCGCGGCGCGGCGCGGCGAGAGAGGGCCGTGCACCGTAGTACGACCGGGTCGTCATTGCCATCGGACTGTGACACTCGGCGCGTTTCAGCGCTTCGATATTATTCAATTAAGAGATAACGACTGCGCCCGTCGTCGATTTTCCCTTCGTTAGCCGGTACCCGCCGCGTCGGTCGCGCTCGCTCCGCACTTCTGCGCGCGAGGAACTTCGAGAAAACCGCGCGCGCGCGCGCGGCGCGCACCCGCGGAACGCCGCGCGAGAAACTTTCCACCGAGAAAACGCCGTTTGCGTCGCATGACGAGAGCGAATGTCGCGTGCATTGTACGCGGCCGGACGATGAATAACGTTGTATGAATGTGGAGTAAACGGTGCGGTAACGGGGCCGCATTATTAAAGCGAGGAGAGTCATTGTCGGGAAGACCCGCGGCACACTCTCGGGCGAGCGCCTCCGCCGCGCCGTGTCATCCACTTCGCGTAATTGCCGTGGCCACACATTTGTGTGCATCAATCATAAATTTTACTTGCACTTAATTACAAATCAACTCGAGAGCGACAGTGAAGTGTGTTCCCCAGTTCGCCAAATGGTACAAGTTGGAAACAGCTGTGAGTTCCGATAAAGGTCACAGACTTTTTTTTTTAAAGATCACAGACGAGGTAAAAGTTTCGATGAATAAGATTCGAGTGTCTGACTTGGCTGCCTTGAAATATTATTAATATAATGGGATCATAAAGAAAGTACTTATTTACACTGACCTACGTCACGCGAAAAAAAAAGAGATCGACAAGCTCCTACGGATATTTCTGCAATATTCTCGTCGGTGGTTTCAACTAAACGTAACGTAAAAGAAGATGCAGATATATTTGTGTGCCTGCATTGAAAATATCAGCTAAAAAGGGGATAAAAAAAGGAGAAAATAAATTGATCAATTTAATTATTAATCATTTACATATTGCAATAAAGAAATGGAAAATCATAGAAAATCTCAAAAAATGTACTGTTATAAATTTGATAAAAATTTGATAATCAGTTTTTTTTTTATTACGTTGGTAGTTCTTAGTCTTACAATTAATTATCTTGCTCATTTGGAAAGGATTGTAAAAAAAACAAATATTTTTCGGAAAGAAATATAATCTTATCTGCCTCAATTTATCGTTATTGACAATAATGACGAATGATAGTCGTGTGTACTAAATGTTAATGCATCTTCAATGCATGTAAATCATTTCACACATCAACGAGAGGAACTGTTATGGGGGATACAATTTATAACGCGCGCGACATAAAATTGGATATAAAAGTAATTAATTATTAATGTATGTGTAATGTATGTATAATTTACTAAATATTAATGTATTAATTATTAATTTATAACGGTTTAATATTAATACGGAAATATCTTCGAGATTATTCATTGGTGCGTTGCTCATCTTTTAAGAGCCTTGATCTAGCCTCATAATTATACAATACGCAACGCTCTAAAAAATCGACGAAG